AATCAATTCTTCCTCGTTAGTGTCTTCTAAGCTGTTTACATTTGCGACACGTGACTGATGATTTTTCTCATGCTCTGCTTAATTTTTGAAAGCTGGAACAAATGGCCCTGACAAGAGTGATTCATGTTTATTGATCCGTGTTTCATGTGTGATAAACAGCAACCGTGTGATGCTCTTCTATGCATAACTGCTAACTCGGGGGGGGTGGGGGGGGGGCTCTGACTGGGGTGTTGTATCCAGCTTGGTAACGAGGCCACAGCCGCAAAAAGTCAAGGTCGGGTAAGGACGCAATGGCCGTGCTGTGAGACTGCTCAACTGGCGACAGAGCTGTTGGAGGCGTTGCAATTCAGGGAACCAGATCAGTACCAAAACACCAAATTTGCAGTTAAAAGGTGTATGGAGGAGAGATAGTAACAGCGTGGTAAAAGAAGACGTTTCATTGCGTCGTTGGTGTGACAGATGATTGCGAGGATTGGACTTGCAGAGGCTGACAGAAGCCCGAGAGAGTAGCGAGACGGTGAACACGAGAGTGACGTCGGGTCAAAAACAGGTGGTGGGTGAAGGCAAACGGGCAGAAAATGTTGGCCGGAGATGAAGCGAGGAGGATGAGGGATAAAAAGAGACTGAATTGATGCAAAGAAGAAAAAAAAAATCATTGGTATTCCGAGGCGGTCTCCCATGCAGCACAGGCGGTGCAGTTACTGAGTCATTTGCTCAGTGATTCAACAGTGCCCCCTGCTGTATGCCACTCGCTATGACACGCTGATGGGACTCATCAAGTTCGATCTATTTTACCGGCCACAACGTTAGCTACAAACGCACAATCTGGCAGGATTCAATGTAAGTCTGTGAAACATCCTGCCTTAGAAAAACAACGTTCATGATAAGATTGTAATTTTATTGTCAAAAAAAATAAAACTCTTGTGCATAATAATCAAGCCATGGGTGAAACAAGAATTTGATTTATAAGTTGATATTTTGTGCCAAGTGACTCTTACCTTGGACCTTGACATAAGTCATTTCGGGGTTGACACACAGGGCCAGGTTGCTGGGCAGTGTCCATGGGGTGGTGGTCCACGCGATAAGAGAGACATCTTCATCATCAAGCAACGGGAAATTAACGATGACTGATGGATCTTGAACATCCTGTAACCAGACATGATGGAAAAGTATGTTTTGTTTTTTGTTTTTTTTAACTCTGTTGTGAACTACCGTCCTGTCAAAGATTCAGTGACGGTTGTGCAGACCTTGTAGTTCTGGTGAGATTCAAAGTTGGAGAGTGGTGTATTGCACGCAGTGGAAAAAGGCATGACCTTGACACCACGATACACCAGACCCTTGTCATACAGCTGCTTGAACACCCACCTGAAAGCAAAAAAAAAAAAAAAAAAGCATTATTAATGCGTGGAAACGAGAGAAACGAAAGTGAGTGTAGGACCATTAATATGCTCATCACAGCATATCATAGAAGGTTCTGGATACCATGCAAATACACTAGTGGGTAGTGGGTTCATTATTGCCACATTGCATTCATTTTTCGCTTGTTTGATTGCGACATGATATAGAACAGCATTTGGCAGTCATTCTGATGTCCGTGCACTATTCTGAGAGTGTGTGGTTTCAAGGAGATATTTTTTTTCCGAATGCAGCCAGAACCGTTTCCCCATTCCAGTCGCAGCGCCTCGCGCGGGTATTTTTGGGGCACTTTGTATAACCAAGTTTCGTTTTTGCTCAAATAAAATAAATTAATTAAATACAATAACATTATGTAACATAAATCAAACAAATGTGTTAAATATGAAACATTCAACTATTGGTAACACAAAAAAAATAAATCAAGATTAATGGACTTATAACGTCATGAATTAAACGCAATGCGCCGCGCATTGCATTCTGGGACCTGAAAAGCAAAGTTATTTGTATGTAATCAATGACTGATGATCTTATTGTGATATTATGTATACTCTGCCCACGTCCGCTTTGAGTCATAAGCACACACGTCCTTAATATTATGTAGGAAATTGGTATTTTTTCCGAGACAAACATACCAGACGGTCTCCATGAACCACGGGTAGAGAGTTTTGTAGTCGTTTTTGAAGTCGATCCATCTGCCCATCCGATTGACCGAGATCTGGCAATGACCAACGACACAGCATTGCCAAGTTTCACATTTAGCAGTTCCCAAAACACAACAAACACTGTTACATCTTAACACGCTCTCACCTCCCACTCATTAGAGTATCTCATGACGATATTTCGACACTGCTTATTGTACTCGGCGATGCCCATCTTGGCGACGTCGTCAGGGCCCGTGATTCCCAAAGTCTTATCGATCTCGTACTCCTACAACACACATAGCTGATCGGAAAGTTCTGGGAGGATGAGTTAAAAGCAGCAACAAGATGTCTTCTTTACCACAGGTAGGCCGTGGCAATCCCAGCCGAAGCGTCTGTCCACATGGAAGCCACTCTGGTGGGCAAAGCGGGTGACAATGTCTTTGATGGTGCCCGCTAGGATGTGACCATAGTGGGGTAGACCCGTGGCAAAGGGTGGGCCGTCATAGAAGGTGTACCTGGTGGGGGAAATTGATATCACTATTATGTGATTGCAATTAGTGATGAGGTTAGGCCAAAATGTTCAAATTTTGATCAGGGCTTGATGAGTGGACATTTAAGAGCGACGATTTAGAGGGCATGCCAGAGCATTGCTGCGTTTAATCTTTTTGCTTTTTAAATTTAAATATTTTACTCCTGGACTAGTGGTTCAGCTGCGTACAGTGAAGTGGAACGGTCCGAGAGATTGTCGACAGCACACCTCACTTTTAGCAAGCATCCGAGCATTAAATCTGTGTGTGTGTGTGTGTGTGTGTGTGTGTGTGTGTGTGTGTGTGTGTGTGTGTGTGTCCACACACTGATACCCAGTGTTAGCAAGTATTCAACATTGTGACAGTCAGTAATACAGTAATGAGCAAGCGAACATTTAACATTTAAAAGCAGAGTTTGACCATCAGGAATTAATGTATTGCTCTGACTTGGTACCCTGTGGCATACAGACATTTGCTAATACTTGCCACCTATTCAGTCTATAATAGTATCCGAGTGCAGCTATCATTTTAGAGAAAAAAAAAAAAAAGTATTTTTAACCCATTAAAACTAAAACATGACCACGGATCTAAATATGCAAAAATAATCATAATCTGCTATGGGAAGCAGGTTTAGGTCAGGAGACCAAGCCTAAAGCTAATTTCATTCATCTCGATAAAAGTCAAGATAAAATATAAAAGTTAAAAGTCAGTCCAGAACAACTAGTTAGACAAGTAGTGCTACGGCTTTAGTAGAGACTGAGATGCCTCCATTTGCTCACCTGGGCCTGTTCTTAGATTGTTTGAGGCACTCGTAAAAACAGTCCTTGTCTTTCCACAGCTGCAGGATCTTTTCCTCTTGCGAGGGAAAGTTGATGGACTCAGGCACCGGCTCCACCATGATGGTGTCTGTCCATCAACACAAGACAATGCGTCAAGCCCTCGATAGCAAATGTATGCAGCACTTTTCATAAGTGCTTCACAGTCAAAATACAGTCATTCATTCATATATAAAACAGATTCATATATTCATCATTCCAGAAAATACTAATTAAATCAAATGAAAATGATTATTATTACCTTTTTTTTTCCCATGAATTATTTTTTTCCCCACTCGAAATGAGAGAATGTCACTAAGTCATTGAGTGACAGTATCAATTTCAGTAATTATGGCCAATAAGTTACAAAAACGTGCTCTTTTGAACAGGAACCTGGCAGACTGATTTATGCTAGTGCAACATACATAACAAATCAATGCATCTTATTTACTAGTTACCCACAATTTGTCAACACACCTTATCACCCAACATTAAGTTTTTAAAATATTGTCATTTGAAGTTTGAAGCCCAACATATACGCTCAGAAAAGATGGTTCAAGTTCACTTCAAAGTATTGACGCCTTTTTGAAGTTAACTAGCATGGTAAGTTAGCCGATTAATGTTTAAGTAAATTTGCTCGAAACAAAAAGCGTCGCGGCGTTGGTGAGAGGAAGGCGTTCTAGTAACACACAAAGGTGCAGAATTTGCCACAATCGTGGAACTATCCGACCATTTATTTGACGCTGAGTGAATCTGAATGGTTTACTCACATGCTGTCCACCTCCGGTTGACAAGACACACGAGAAATGATGCAAGTCTGTGTTAGCGTCAGCGGAAGTGACGACACCGGCGGACCTGATGTAATGTTCAAGGTACTCAAGGGAAGTCGGAATTTGCTCAGAAAGTACCGTCAGCGTCAGACAGTATAGAAATCTCAATGTTCACATTAGGACGCTCACAAATCAGCGCGATTATTCAGTGGTCTGGCCTATATCCATATGCAGCGTTGTGGTTGTTTTGATGCATGAATCCGCTGGTGAAAGGACACTTTGATTCTCTCCTTTCATCTAGAACTGCTTCAAACAAAGCGTATGAGGAAAAGTGGTTAAGAATGCACGACTGTCCGTGTTTCTATGTTGTGTTTATTTTATGTTAACTGTTTTGTAAAGCGCTTTGTTACAGCTGCAGCTGTTTTGAAAACGCTATATAAATCAGGATGCATTGTATTCTAAATTTCGAGGACCATGAAAGTAGGAAAAGCCCTCGATATTCCTGAGTCCATTGAACTACTCACCATGTTAACTTTGTTCATACGAAAAGAAGCATTTCAGTAATTTTTTTCTTCGGTGTACTTTAAGTAATCATTCTTGCTAGACATGTTAAACGAGTTTCAGTCAAACAACTACAACAGCCCTCTTTCATGCCTGTCGTTTTTTTTCATAATGCCATACAAGTCAGTCTTTAACATGCAACAGATTTACTGCAGCTTGTTATCAGCCCTTCATTAGCAATGTTGTTTTCCCATCCCTTCATTTAAACCTTCCATTGACAGCCTGAGCTTTTGACATCGAGTGCAAAAGAGAAATCACACAAAGGAAGAGTGTTTGTTTAAAGCATTGCTTTATTGCGATGGTAACACGAAGGGTGACGAGCAAACAGATCATTTCGGAGCGACGGCTGCGTTCTGAGTGGCGGCTGCGTTCTGAGTGGCGGCTGCGGCCTTCCTCGCCGCCTTCAAGCCCTTTTTGTTGTGCTTCTTGGCAAAGCGCATGTTCCTCAGGAACTTGGGGTCTACCTGCAAACATAGAAACAAAACTCTTCAGAAAAACTACTTCAATTAAAAGAAGTCAAAAAAGTCAACTATACCTCAGCAAAAACTTAAAAATATAGCAAAAGTAGTGAAACAATAGCTGACAGGTAAACAACTTCAAATTCAGTTTTATTTATTAGTTCAATAGTTAATTTTTTACATACTACCAGATTTGTATTCATATCCATGACTTAAAGTCTTATTGCCACTAAAATATGTTTATTATTTAAGCCTTTGGGGAGTATAAAATGCCAGAGAATATTTCGCATTTGACATCTCAACCGTAGTTCAAAAAATGGAAGCCTTGTGATTGGCTCCCCTTGTTGTCTGTTTAAGAGGGAGGAAATTTCATCTGTGCTATATGTTACACATAAGGCACATTTGACAATAAAGTTGTACTTGCTACTTGATATGATCAGGTAGGGTAACATAAGGGACTAGATTCACCATTGATTGCAATTAAGTAAAAAACAAAAGCCATTTCACCCACATCATTCTTCTTGTCAGCTTTCATTGATTGATAGAAAGCCCATATTATTTACATATTTGTATCTATTAATGTTTAATGCACTGATGGACTTTTTTCTGTTTGAATTTTAAATGTCTGACTGTAGTTGAATGCACATCATGTCATGACAAATGTGACATATGTCCATGTTTATTATAATGTTGCTGTTATGATCATATTTGTATGAACCAGAAAAGGTGAGTGTATTACAAATGATAACTTGTGCCCTGTCTAAATACCTTTGCATTTCAAATCTGTGCGTTCACACTGAATTCATATCCAACAGGTTATTGTTCACATGATCAGCGTTTGTCTTCCAAATTGGCAGCTGAGATCGGCAAGCTTCCCGATTTAAACACTCTTGGAACCAAACAAAATGCGTGGTCCTCCAACATTGTGGTGTGTGGTATCACAGGAAAACCGCCAATAAGCTTATGGTCTCCAGATTTGGAAGAGGCCTAACTGCAATGTGGAAATACCCATTTCCATGGTGGTGCATGTCCTCATCGTGCCACTTTGAAACAGCCAATATGTTGCATGCATGTACTGTATTTTCACAACCAAAAGGCACACTTAAAAGTCTGAAATTTTCTCCAAAATGGACGTGGCGCCTAATAATGCGGGTCGCTTTGGGTATGCACGAGAGAATTCAAGATCAACTAATCAATGGTGCTTGGTGCTTTCATTTTATGAAACGGCACCATCTATCCACACGGGCAAGGACAACCATGGCACAGCAACCTCCAGTGGATTTCAAGGAAAAGATAGCCGTAACTGCAGCAAAACGTGTAATGTTCTATGTTACGTTAAATCAAGAGGATTTCTTGGGAGATTTTAATCCTTTATTCTGCCGCTCTGTTGGCCTCACTTGGCTCCCATTACGACTGTTCTCTCAACCAGTACCCACATTCCTACATACCCGCTTGGGCTACAGCAAGGGATGAGGGACAAACATACTTTGCATTTTGAAATATAACAAAATGGCGAACACAAATTTACTAAGACAGTGAGGCAGCACCGGGCGAGTTACACCACAATTTGTGAATGGATTGGCAAAAGCCGGCAGGGCAACGAGACTGTGTTAAATACAGAAAAAGCAGCAGCAACTGACACGATGCCTTTTAATACGGTGTGCCGTATGGTAATGAAAATACCGTAGACCCAGCCCTGAAAGATTGCCACAGCAAGCGCCGTTTCTCTCTTATGCTGTCTCGTGTATATCTTTTTGACATCGTGGCAGAGTACATACCCCCTTCAGGGACTCATAGCGATGGGATCTGGGCTTCTTGATGCCATTCCTATGGGCTTTACGAGCTAAGGGGCAAGAATAGGGCATGAAAAGTAAATTACAAATGTAACAACTGGAGTTATAGTTTGTGGGAAAATACAGGGACTCTCGTATAACCTCTATGTACAAAAAAGCATGTTATCTGCGAAGGCTACGGGTGAATGAGTAAATACTTACACTGGTTATGTGTCGTGTGGTTCTTCGACTTTGCCATTGTGACTGTAGTTTACCTAAAATAAAATAAAAAGTAAGAGTTAAACAATGCCAGTAAGGCTACATTTATTGGCCACATCTGCGTTACTAAGTTGAGCTATATGGCCTGACCAAAGACAACTTGAAAGTTGGTATTTGACACCGAGAGCAAGTTAGCAGAAAAGCGCACGGCGTTAATTTAAAAACTTCATAGATTACGTACGGCATATTGTCACCAGCTCATTTTGAAGCTAGCTAATGCTCAGCGAAGGAATACAACTTCACAGGAATTTATCCTTTTAAAAAGGAATCGTATGAATGAAATAGTGCATCGCGCGTGTGCTTTATAACGTGTTTTGTCAAACACAGTCACTGTTAGTGTACAGATACTGCAAGCACACGGAGATTGATGGAGATTTAAATTGTACATTTTCGGGAGAGAGGCTGGATACCTACTTTCCGAACAGACGACAACCGGAAGAGAAAGAAGTCGACTGCGGAAGTAAATAAATTGGCGGCGAATTGGGGCTAAATTATAATACTGCCCCCTGTTGTTGGGTCAGCGAAGTCAATGTTCACGACAGACCACTAGATGTCCTCCTGTGCTCATGTTAATCATGTCAAGGCTCATCCGCGCCTCCATTAATGCTTTTTGAAGCAAATGTATAATATTAGAAGACATAATACTTTGCAGTACGTCATAGGTATGATTTTAAAAAACACGAAAGCATACATTTAAATTTAATTTAAATAAAATGTTATTGCAATGGTTTATTTTCCCCGAGTTTCATAATTTCATTTTATTTTAATTTGTAACAATCTTTTCTTATCCGGTACATGTGTAGTACAATGTTGTGGTATAGAACTGCAAGGCATCATACTGAGAGCCATTCCAGGCATGCTGGTTACTACAAAAGATTACACATTCAGAACATTAAAACATTAGCTCACCATCACAAGCCCCAATAATCAAAAGTGAGCATCTCATTTGCAAGAAATATTCCAACAACAAAGAAAATCGATCCTTTATTCTAATTTAAAACGAAATGGAAACCCCAAAATAAAGAAAATAATGGAGAAAAAAGTAATTCAATCCAAAAGTAAACTGACCCCCCCCAAAAAAAATGATGTAAGGTATTTAAAAAAATAAAAATGTACTTTGGTTAAAATTAAGCTGAGACCCCAATTTTAAAAGAAATTAGCTAACATAATTTCATAATTCAATTCAAGAATTTTGTAATTTCGGTTCATATGAATTGATGAGTCGTGTAGTATATCCATAGGTCTGTATTATACTGAGTTAGCATGTCCACCTCACAGTGAAGAGGTGCAGGGTTCAATCCTGGCTGCAGCCTTCCTCTGTGTGAGTTTGCGTGTTCCCCTGTGCCTGCGTGGGTTTTCCCCGGGTACTCCAGTTTCCTCCCAAATTGGCAGCTGAATGGAATACTCTAAATTATCCCAAGGTGTGATTGTGAGAGTGAATAGCTGTTCGTTTATGTGTGCCCTGCGATTGGCTGGCAACCAGAGTGTACCCTGCCTACTGCCCGAAGACAGCTGGGATATGCTCCAGCATGCCAGCGACCCTTGTGAGGATAAAGCGGATTAGAAAATGGATGGATGGATGGATGGATGTAGTATTCTGCCACCTCGTGGCCGAGGTACTCACACAACAAGCAATAGTCAGTGTGCACAAACATTTTTTTTAACATTCCAACCTCGGTTTATGAACAATCGTTGTTTTATGACTTTTTTTTTGCGTTGCATAAACATTCTTGTTGCTTCATGTATGTTTGCTTGCAAGTACTGTATATGCATTTTCAAACGATTCCTCAAAATTCACAATGTCCCATCAATGGTGGGCTACATTTACATCAGGCCCGTGGGCAGGGATGTCGCGACAGCCCCATCAGAAATGCGAGTAGCCCCAGGTAAGGTCCTCCAGCATTTTATTTGATAGTCTAAAATATATTCATATTATTATCTCAGCCTTTAGCCCCTGCATCACAATAAATGTGTATATATATATATATATATATATATATATATGTGTGTGTGTGTGTGTGTGTGTGTGTGTGTGTGTGTGTGTGTGTGTGTGGTCTGAAGCAAGTGCAAATGTGCTGATTATTGAGTATTAAAGTAGCATACACACAAGAATCCTTGTCTTTCCTTCTCCGCATCCTTGGCTGAGGATGGGTGAATCCCAGCTCAAGCAGAAGAAATTGTGCAGCCGCATCCTATATTTAGAGCCCCCGCTGCTTTGATCATCTGAGCTTGCCGCTCATGCTCATATTCTGCAGCACTGCACTGCACTGCACTACACACGCTCGCTCCATCCATCCATCCATCCACCCATCCATCCATTTGGCTCGCATGTATTACTCCTGACAATGTTCTCCTCCTGAAACTGTTCCCATGACCCCGTGAGTGAAGAACAGGCCAGAGAAAAATGACAACTTATGATTTCCAATGTGCGGCGGTTGCATATCTCTGCTAAATTCAGATTTATTCCCTGCAATTGAACACGCTGTTCTCAATTAAATGATCTCAGCACACATACACACATGCAGCGTAATCCCAAAGCGACGACTAATTCAATTACCGAATATGAAGGCCTCCTCGTACGCCGTCTAGACACCGCTCGCTCTATTATTCAACATTTAGATTCACACGAGTTGCCGCCGTGCACATCTCCAGTTTGTGTTTATTACGCTCGACCATTATTGCCTCCACTGTCCCCATTTCAAAACGAAGATCAAATTGATTTTGCGGGTGTCGTCACCATTAAGTGCCTCCAGAGGGCGTGTGTTTGGGTTTGGTGTATCAGAGAAGGAATAGAAGAAGAAATCATCAACTAAAAAGGGGTTTCCTTGAAATGCTGCAACTTCTTTTTTTTTTTCCAGTACAGTTTTCACCTGTAATATGTCAAATTTTTCTAGTGAAATTATATGAAGTAGTGAAATTTCATCTTGTAAAAATCCGACTTTAATTTTTTTTTTTCTGGATACAACTTTTTTTCCAAGTTAATACTGCAATATTTTCTGGATAAAATGACAATTTCATCGTAAAACAACGATTTTTTTTTTCTTGGAATTCTCAGAGCTGTTTCCATGCAATTAATTTTTTTTCCAAAAATATAAAATACATGAGCAGTCCTTAAATGTGTAAAATGAAACACAAAACACACATTTTAATTGCAGTCCGACACCGTGTTGACTTTTCATTTTCAAATCCACCTGTTGCACACAATTGTATAGCGTTCAGCACAAAAAAAAATAATGAATACTTTTGTGTAACTGGCACACCGGCATGACGACAATCACCTTCCTCCTGTGCTCATTATTCTTGCAACACAGTGTCTATTTCATGTGGTGTTTCTTTTAAAATGCTACGACACAGAAATCCAAACAGACTCAATTGCTCAATTATTGGCATGAATTCAATAGAAGAAAATGCTTTCAACACAGACAGTTTGAGGAGTAGGAAGCGGGAGAAGGTATTATTAGTGAGGAGAGAAGAGGCCAGGTACCCCGAAGCCAACGGGGAATAAATTGGTTGAGTCCTCCATGTTTCTCTCCAATAATGAGAGTGTGCTCTCTGCACACGCTGACACTGTGACAAGCTCTCTATTTCAAATATAGCTGCAACCACAGCTGTGAAAGAGGCAGCTTTATGCTTTCACACCAAAATAAAGTACAACCTAGTGATTGTTGTGGGCCCCCCAGAAACACTTAAGTAGTGATGCATTTGTTATTTTCTAACATTGCGTTCTTCTTCTTCTTTTTGTTGTTGTTTTATTTTTGGTGAGAAAATATGATGTGACAGAATATAACTTTTTTGGGGAAGATAGTGTTTTTGTGGCAAAAGATGTTGATTTTTGTCACAAAAAAAATAGCATTTTGTTTGTGATGTAATGAACTTTTTCTTACAAAGTACTGTAGTGTCTTGTCACAAAATATATGACGTGTTTTTATTTTATTTTTTATAGTATTTTTGTGAGAATTTTGTTTTGACAAAATACAGTACAGCCTTTTGTGATGCAATCTAGAATTTTTACGACAAAATTTAGTCAAAACTACAATTAGTGTTGTTTCGGCAAACTATTGTGCTTTGTCACAAAATATAACAAAACATAATGTGACAAAACATGTTGATATGGTGAAAAAAGTAGCATTTTTGTGACAATGTTTTTGTGACAAAATATTGCATTTTGTGATGAAATATAGCATATATATGACTAAATGGAGATTTTCTTTTATAAAATAGTGTTATGGAACGATAAAACGTTTTGTGACAAAACATAACATGAGACTTTTGGCTTTTTGTGACAAAACATGCTGATTTGGTGAGGAGGAAATATGGCTTTTTTGGTGACATATTAATGTTTTTGTTACAATATACAGTGTTTTGCCACAAAATATAAGGTCTGTCACACAATTGTTCATGTGGGAAAAATATTTTTTTTGTGGTGAAATTTTGCGTTTTTGTGGCAAATAGTAAAAATTTGGCAAAAGTCTGGCAACAGCCCCCTCCCAAAAAAAAACCAATTGTAACAAAATATTTGAAAATTGTGACCAGTAGAGAAGTGACGTGCAACATTGAAGTTGAGTTAATAGGAGCTAAATGTTTTATGGCGTGTCATGGAATTTAACTGAAATTCCATGATGCCACGATGAAAACTCTCATCAATGAATCAACAATTGACAACGTTTCCCATTAACGAGGTCACGGGCGGTATCAACCAGCTGATTGGTTGACCTGTAATGCAGTTCAACCGATGAATCTTGGCGGCGGCGTATGCAAATGTGTCAGGTCAAAAAGTAGCTAGCGGTGGGTGCAGATCAAGGCAAGCTGGAGGTGTCAGGAGTGGTTGTGTTCGGTAAAGGTGATTGATGGGTTCAAGGGTTAGTCTGAGTGTCGCTGATGCGAGCGGAAAGTGAGAGAAATGAACAATTCCTCCTCTCTCCCTTCCGTGCTTTCAGTGGTGCCTTCCATAGCTCCACACGCTGTGGCATGTGGCCTTCTTTCAAATCCTCTCATTCATCCCCTCGTGCCGACCAATCAGAGAGCTGCGTCCCTGCACATGGGCCGCCTACTG